TATTTCTTAATGACATACTGGGTAAATTTGAACGAAAAAGCACACGTTTTGCAGCCGTACTGCTGCTTTAATAGTGGTTGCAACCTGGTTTTGCTTTTGAAATGCAGTCTAACCATTATTGATATAATTATTGCATTAGTGAACATTATTTCAATAGTGGTTCTTAACCAGTGTTGGTTTTGAAATGCACTTTAAACCACTATTGAAATAATTATTTCAACAGTGGGCGTTATTTCAATAGTGGTTGCAACACTGCCAGTTTGATTAGGATATTTTAGCAGTTAACAAGGGCATTCAGAATTTCTTGTGGCTTTATTAAATAAAATAATTTCATTTAAAAACAAACAAACAAAATGGCGACGACGATCATAAAACGAACTGGCGATCATGATGATGGTAAAGCTACCTATCGAGTATTACACACAAAACGGCTTTAAAATAAATTTGATGACTTAAAAAACATTATTACGGGAATTTTTGGTGTTTTTATGAACTAACTTAGTAATTATTAATTTCCTTTTTTGATCACGTGACTCTTATGAAGTCTACGATTGGTCAACAACGAAGTGAGGCTTTTTTCAGAGACAATTTGAAAATTGGTGGGATGGAAATGCCAAGAACAAAAATGAGATACAGAAGTCGGTAAGACTATATTTATATTTAAATTTCGATGTTGTTAGCAAGAAATGCATTTTACCACTTTAGATGTTTGTTTATTGTTGTTCGACATTCCTCTTGAGAATTTTTCACTCATATGGAGACGCCACCACTTGCCGATGGAGAGCTGCAAACTTTGACCTATACTCGGCACTCAGGGCCATTGAGCAGTGAGGGATATTTTTTCAAGCCAGCACCTACTGCGACACGGGACCTCGGTTTATACGGTCTCATCCGAAGGACCGGTCTCCACGTCCCACAGTGGGATTCGAACCCGCGATGTAAGGATTAACTCCTTACTCCGCGACTCTAGAGTGAACGCTCTAACCACTGTGCCACGCCGGCGACTTTACCACTTTAGAAGTGTATACAGTGGAGAATTTCAATGTAGATTTTACGTAATTGTGGACATTTGTGTCTTCAATTTCTGGTTTGTTTTGATCAGTATGACGATATATATAAACTTAAGTTAACATACTGAAACATGCTTTTTCTCTGGCTCAATGTAACATGAATCATTTAGTTCTTGACATATTCAATTCTTCAAATATTTCCGTATAATTCATGCAATAGGTTTATAATACAGTCAGCACTGGTCAGTATCTGGGAACATTTACTGTAGCCTAGCTAAGTCTTGGCATGATAAAAAAAAAATACATTTCAAATCTACTGAATTTTGTAAGATTAAAGTTTATAAAAGTAATGGATTTTTGTTAAACATGTTAAAAGGGAGGATAGTGTGTGTGTGGTGGTTGGTGGTGGTGGTGGTGGGGGGGGGGTTTGAAGGGGTAGTAATAAACATGTGGTTGATTAAACAAGCAAAAAGTGTCAGCATTTACATGTATCTGAAAAATTTAAAGTTGAACTGGATAGTTATACTGATCATCTTTCCAGGGTGAAAAGAACTTAAAAGGGGGGGGGGGGGTGGCTATATAAACATAATATTGAGACACATGATCATTTTTCTATTTGTTAGGAATTTAAACAGGGATATCAAACTCACTTTACAATTTTTCAAAATCACTGTCAGGTTTAAAAACAAGAGGCCCATGGGCCACATCGCTCACCTGAGCACATTGGCTAGGAAAAAAAGCAAAAATCAGTTCAGTTTTGAAAAGTTAACGGGGGAGAGAGGGGGGATGGGGGATTTTAAACTACCTAACAATGCTTTCATATCAATATAACAAATGACTTTGCTGTTCTTGAGCAGCAGATTTTTTCCCATATATTCATTTTTAAAAATTTGATCCCCCATTGTGGCCCCACCCTACCCCTGGGGGCGCTCATTTCAATAAATTTCTTTTTATACTACCCAACGATGCTTCCATATCAATTTGACTAATCATGGCTTTTCTGTTCTTGAGAGAAAGATTTTTTCCTATATATTCCTCTGTAATCTTTGATCAACCATTGTGGCCCCACCTTACCTCCGGGGGTAATGATTTGAAAAAACTTGAATCTACACTACCTGAGGATGCTTCCATACAAATATGACCAATCATGTCTTTGCTTATCTTGAGAAGAAGATTTTTAAAGTTTTTTTCTATATACTCTTATGAAAAACTTTGACCCCCCCCATTGTGGCCCCACCCTACCCCCAGGGGTCATGATTTGAACAAGCTTGAATCTACACTACCTGAGGATGCTTCCGTATAAATATGACCAATCATGGCTTTGCTGTTCTTAAGGACAAGATTTTTAAAGATATGTTCCTATATATTTCTATGTAAAACTTTGACCCCTCCATTGTGGCCCCACCCTACCCTGGGGGTCATGATTTGAACAAACTTGAATCTACACTACCTGAGGATGTTTCCACATAAGTTTCATCTTTCCTGGCCCAGTGGTTCTTGAGAAGATTTTTAAATGATGCCATTATTTTTTCACTAATTCCTAACTAGAACTGTCCAAAAGGGACAAATACCCCCCACTGGGTTTTTCAGAGAAAGTACCAAATCACTAATGTTTTCTAGATGTGAGAGGTGTTCACAATTTCCTTAAACATTTACAGTGAAAATTTAATTACTCATTATATTTTTTTATATGTCCGTCTTAAGACGGGACGTATTATGTTATAGCGTTCATGTCCGTCTGTCCGTCTGTTAGCTTTTTCATGTCCGGCTCATAACTTTAATACTATTAGGCCTAGAATTATCAAACTTTGTCAGCTGATACATCTAGGGTAGAAGGTGCGTCGCACATTAAAACCAGGATGCTCTGACCTTTAATAAAGACGCTATGGCCAAATATGGAAAAATCATAACTAGAAAACCATTAGACTTCAAATCAAAAAACTATGTCTTTTAACCTTTAAATTACACAATCCCAAAAGATGTCAGAGTATTGCAGTATCTTTATTAAAAAAGTGTTAAATCAAGAAAATACTAGTCTTATTTTTTTCATTATGTTCTTTACAGCAATCTGTAATAAGAAAAATTCCACCTCTCCCATGGGTGTAATGATCAGGCACTGGTCAAGGAAAATTTTGATAGCAGAAAATTGCATGTCAAATTAAAGATAAATTAATGAGTTTAGTGTGAGGAGATAACTGGTAGAGCATCTCTGATCAAGCAGGTGTTATCTACATCTCTTGGGAAAAGGGCAAAAGGAATCAATCTCTTAATTAATTGCTTGTGTTGTAATATATAGGTTTAAATAGTAAGGCCATGCGGTAGCACGGCACTCTAAGCTCGCTAGGATTTATAGATTAGTATGGCTGATAGTGATGCAATGGAGTGCAATGAATTTGGGCTTTTCAGTTATATTAGTTAATGTGTTATGGTTATGTGTTAACAGTATATAATTGAATAAAAGCACAAGTGAACAGCGTTCCTACTTCACGTGTGTTGAGTTTTATTCATTCAGCACTTCAATGATTTATATTCAAACGAACGACATTAAGGATTCTGTATCAATTAAAGTGAAGTGAGGGAGAATTTAATGTTTGTTATCTTCATCTTTTTCATCATCGTATTCTCCAATGTGTCTCATCTGAAAGCGACTCAATGTTCTGAAATTTTTTTTATTTATGGAGTTAAATAGTGAAGGATCAACTTCAGGAAAAGCACCTCCACCCTTCTAGGTACTATGTGCCTAAAGATGAATAGACAGACTTGTATGTTTAGACAATTTAAGTGTCACTGGATAAACTTAATTTTAATTTTTTATAGCTTGCTTTCTGCAAAAGGCTAGTATGTATGTATTGAAACTAAAATAGAGCTTTGATCTTTTCATTCATTATGTATGTGTTTTTTTTCATATATTGAAAATAAAAAATAAATATTTTTCAGCACACAGTCATGCTTTTACACCACAGTATGTGTTCACAAATTGAAAACTACTCAGAATCTCTCTCAGATAACAAAGACATGAACATTTGTTGTGAATGCTGGATCTTTTTCCATAGTACATGTATTTAAGTTTATTTGAATTTTTATGCATTCAGTAAGACTGGTTTTCTTGTGAGATTGGACAATGAACCAATCTTAGTGCGTAACTTTTATGGTCTTTGACAATGGTAATGTAAAGGAACTTAACATGTTCCTGGTCATGTTCTATCCAAGTTCCTTGTATGAGAAAATAAATTTTAAGCATGGTCCACAGTTCAAGAAAAATAATTTTATGGGTGGTACCCCTGAAATTTTCTGGAGTCCTGGGATAGCAGGGTTCGACACTAACGTTAGTCCGTTAGTCTCAGACTAATACATTTTCATTTGGACTAATAAAATATGTGGCTAATTAGTCCAAATGGACCAATAAAAATTTCTGAAAAACAATATGAATAAATTACCGATGTCCGATTCTCGACAACTTTTACTGGAAAACCCCGCGTGTATCTTTAGATTTCTAGCTTTTGGGGGGTAGTTACGCAAAGCCAGGTCAATTCAGCGCTAAATTTTTCCAACTGATCGATATGAAGTATAAAGTTTTAGCGATCATGATTTAGTATGACACTTTTAAGAAAGATGTTGGACGTTTTGGATGTAATGTAAAGACAAAAAAATCCAAAAAAACAAAAAAACAAAAAAAAACCCGAGATCGGGAAAACGATCGTACTTGCTGATTGCGAGATTTAAATGAATCTGTGGAATAATATATTTCACGTAAATACTCTGTTTATTTCAAAAAATGATACGCATATTAATTGTCACATTAAATTAATGTTAAAAACATTGATGTTTCTTTTTTTTGACGGACTAATAAAATTGCGTGCGGACTAGTAAAAGTAAAGAAGCACTAGTCCGGCTGGACTAAAGCCTTAAAAAGTTAGTGTCAAACCCTGGATAGGGTATATTTTTTACCCAAATAGCCCTCAGTAGTATTTAAATTGCAAACAACACTACCTTGTAATTCTTCATCAAATCCTGGCTTGATAACAAACTCATGATTTTCTACTTGCTGAAGATCCATTGTTTCTTCCACCATTTCTTGAAATTTACAAAAATCCATCAAGATCTCCTAAAAATAAAAGAACTTAAATCAAAATGGTACTGTGAGCAAGCTCACAAAAATAATACCCCAAAGCCATCTTTAAAAATAATTTTTTTTTTTGCCCTCTCCTGATTCAGGAGGAAAAAATTGGGTCAGTAGTTAGGCAACAAAATTTTTTTTGCCCCAAGAAGTTTTATTTTTACAAGAATGCTGAATTTTTCTAAATTTATTGAAATTCAAGGTATTAATAAAATTTAAATACAGGTGACTCTCTATCTCTCGAAGTTCAAGGGACCGTAAGAAAAGTTTGAGAGATCGAGGGGTTCGAGAGATAGAAAGTGAATAAAATCCGTGATTTTCAGTTCCAATTATCATTGTTCTTCCATTATAGAATCTGATACTGAAAGTTTATAATGATAATGTCATTACACATTTTCATTCATATTTTACAGGTAATTCACTTGATTTCAACAACAATGATTGTATTTTTAATAAATAAAATGATTTCTTTATGTTTCAATATTTATTTGTTCTCCTTTCATGATTACATGAAACCTGAATAGCAGTTGTCAATGTGGCTATTCCCCGGGCAGGCTTGATCGGGTCCTTCAACAGATTGCTCATAATCGGTATTCAATACTTGAGATATGATTTCTTGCGCAATGTTTGCCATCTGGGATTGTGTAGATTCTTATTACAGTTCATAATTGATGGAAAATTATTGACGTGTCTCTAAATTATTTTCTCAAAATTATCGTCTCGCTGTCAAGTCAAAATAAGTTGTGAAGCGAATTGTTTATAATTTACCAATTAATTATATCAACACTTGCAAGACTCACAGGTGTAGTGTCATCTATGTAAGCACCCAATTAACACATCCATGCCAACCCCTGGTGTTAACTGTCATCCAGGTAAGTCCAAGCTGCATTAATTTTAGGCTTGGTTGGCGTGTATACATGCACAATCAAAACTTTGAGAGATAGAGAGTAAAAAACCATGAAATATGTATAATGGGACCCAGGTCTTGGTTCAAGAGATAGACAACTTCTAGAGATCGGAAGTTTGAGAGTAAATTTGCTTAGTTATATAGAGAGAAAATATGGGACCGGAGGTCGAGAACTTTGAGAGATTGGAGTTCAAGCCATCAAGAGTCACCTGTAGTTGTTGACTGGATGAGAAAAATCCAGAATTGAGAAAAAAAAAAAATTTATTTCCTGGATGTAAAAAAAAAGTTTCAAGGCAGAACACTTTAGTTACATGGTCAGAAGAGGGAAAACAGATAATTTTTTAAGATATCGGCCCAACTGCATTTTTCTTTTTTTTTTTTTTTTTAAAAAAAAAGCATTCTACTTTTTGTTTATCTTAAAACTAACATTGAACTTGTCAAATCATCCATGGTTCAAGAAAATTACTCTAATGTACTCTATTTCTCTTTCTAGAGTACTCATGTTTTTGTACATCTTTTATTCTTAATTTGTTGCATGAATTATCCCTCAGGGCAAACACAAGTTATGTTTTTGAGTAAATGAAGTTAACTATGTATCCTGTTATTTTTGATAATACATATATATATAATTTTTTGTTGCTATGTTACAATGCAAAATGTAATAAAAATGCAAAATGTAATAAACAGGGGTTATTACATTTTGCATCAAAATCAACGCAGAATGTAATAACACAAAATGTAGTAACTTAAGAAACTTTTTATATTTTGCGTTATTTCATTTTGCGTTGATGTCAATGCAAAATTTAAAAAAAAAAAGCATATTGTAATAAGATATTTTTTGAATTATTTGGATTATTATATTTTTTGTTATTATATTTTGCTTCGATACTAAGCAAAACGCAACAATGTTAAATGTAACAAGAGGCCCATGGGCCTTGAATCGCTCTTCTGATAAACTGTACAACCTATCACTTCTATCTGAAGCCTCTAAGTATCCTGTATATTTAGATAAACCCTTGAAATTCCAATTCACACTCTTAGAACCCAAGATGATTCTAAACCAATTAATACCTAAATTATTTTTTAAAATTATAACCATAAAATTTTATATGTAGGTCAAAGTGACCAACTTTTCAGTTGTACTCCAAGGACCCAAGATGCATCAACTGACAAAGTTTGATGATTCTAAGCCAATTAGTACCTGAAATATTTAATTAAAGCCATAAAAAATGAGTGCACTTTAGAGTGTCATTTGGAGCCTTTTCGGCCACCCATTTTAAGCCTTGAATTAGACTATATTGCTAATTTAATCTATGATTATTGTGCATACATATGCTTTTGATATTCATATTCGAATATTTTGTTAAACACATTGCTATAATTCCACACAATGTCATTGAAAAGAACATGTATAAGCCTTAAATTCCGGAAATTTGAACTGGACCACTTTGGAATTTAAGGTACCCGCAAATGGGCGGAGATATTTAAATCGCATGGAAGTGGAATGTAAACATTTGCACATTATTTCAAGGATGAATTAAAATGGAGGAGAGAGAGAGAGAGAGAGAGAGAGAGAGAGAGAGAGATTGTGTAGTTTCATGATTCACACAAAGAAATGATTCATGGCCATACATACATGTATTGATCATTTTCATGATTCGTATCCATATGTTTGCTGCCTAGCACCGAATCTAGTATGTATTAAAAATTCCCCCTCCTTTTTTTACTTTAGCGTTATCATTTTTCGTTTATATGCTGAATGCTTTTCAATTCAAAGAATGAATGTATGTTTTAAGAAAAATTCACATTTATTTGACTTCGATGTCACACTACATTTTGTAAATCACTGTAAATGTAGTACGTAGTAATACAAACATGTGTAGTGAAACAATTAAAGTATAACTGCATGTAGTACTCGCTGTGATACATATTTTATTATATGCATGTATAGATTAATAACATTCAGAAATGAAATATGAAATTTTAATTAAAAATTTGAGTTGCTAGGTTATTATGAAAATTCCAAGAAATACAAACTATCTGTAATTTAAATTAACATTTCATTGACGGAACAAGTATGTTTGATATTAAAAACCATGGTCAACAAAAATTCTACAACATTACTATATCACTTGCTTATGTCTTCAATATCTGTTTCATTTCGGGAATCCAAATATTGTCAGGTATGATACACAGGCACCTGACGTTACTTATTTCTTTTTTATATAAAAAAATATATATATACTCCCTACCTAATAATTCATTAGGTAGGGGTTTATTTGTAGATGCTTGCAGACCATAATACGGAAGGCGACATGAGCTAGCACAGCTACCTACTAATTGTGCACCTGATTTGCACTGGCAATACAGATACGGAACCAGGAATTTCATAGCGAGGGGTGCAGTAGAAGGCAAGGGGTCTGGGGGCTGCATCGAAGCCCCTAGCAGTTACAGGGCAAAGCCCTGGTGGGGGTCCAGGGGCGAAGCCCCCGGAAACTGACGATTTCTAACAAATAAGAGGTGTTTTTTCCCTTGATTTTAGGACAATACAAACAAAATATAAAAATAAATTCAAACGGGGGGGGGGGGGGGGGGGGCATGCTCGGCTCTGAATCCGCCTTTACAATACCAGAATTTCCTTCAAAATACCAAACGAAAACCACAATTTAGTGAAAGAAGACAAGGTAAACTTTAAGACCCTTATAAAATTTTCGCAAAAATTCTTTAATATTTTGAAGTTGCACGCGGTGAGATTTGTAATCAATTTGTAATGCAAGTATTATATTTGTATTATAATACTTTCCTGTACACACGCTTATACATGTCTTATTTGTTAATAGACTTTAGGTATTTCTACGTGTTTCCCTCGCAATCTCTTTCTCTCTCAACAATGGAAAACAAGGTTCTATTAGCAGTATCTGTTATCGTATTATGCACTGCATTAAAACTGAAAAGACCATCAAAATGGAAACAGCGGCGGAATACTTGTAAATGTATTTGGAGCACATAATCCATCGCTAGATGAGGTGCAAAGAGAAGACACCAGAAGTTATAAAAACTTCTTTATGAAAAATGCATTCAAATGCAGCATTTGAGCAACCTTTACAATCACATGTAGTTACTCCTTTTGATCTCCTTCCCATAAAACATAATTTTACTGCTAAAGTCGACCATTATTTACCATGTGCTTTTTTTGTTATGATAAAAATAGGATGACCCCAATGTGAGTACTTTTGATTGGTTTAAAAATGAAAGGTAAGTTAAGACTTGTATTAAGAAATAGAGTATTGTCCTATTTTCAATACAGTTTCATAAGATTCGAAAAATTCTATGATTCACTGTATTTAAAGTCTATACATAGTAAGATTTTGTACTTATTACATATCCGTGTGTACAGTCCTGAAGTCGATTGACAGACACAAAGAAAGCATATCGAACAGTGGAATGTCACGTGAGTAAAGTGATTATAATATCAAACGGGTCAAAATAGGCTGACACTTGATGACTTGTTAATTTAGTAGCTAACTTGACCGTAGTTTGGAGAATTTTTCAAAAAATTACATATGAGCCATAAATTTTCCAACATTGCCCTTTGGATATCTATAAGTTTAGATCAAAATACACATTCTGTGCAAATGAGATGAATGGACAAGTTGCGGCTCGATGTAAACAATGTCATTGAAAACTGGTATGCAAATGAATAACAATAGAAATGGTACAAAACTGCTAGACCCCCGTTGCAAAAACCAGTGTCGCTCGGCATTATTTTACATTTCCATATGATTTAATATATCAAACCCTACTCTTATGATATTGTTTAATAATTCTGATTCAAAAAGTTTATAAATTTCGGAAATTTATTTTTGGCAAAGCACCGAACCAAACTCTCATAGCTTAAGTGCACTGATCCTTTTCAAAAATAGGTCACGGTGACCTACTTTTCAGTTGTTAGTTAAGCCTAATTAATACCTAAAATATTTAATTAAAGCCATAAATTTTCAAAAGTAGGTCATGGTGACCTACTTTTCAGTCAACCTTAGCTCCGAGGACCCAAGATGCATCAACTGACAAATTTTGACAA